CATCGTTGGATAGAGAATTGAAAAGTCGATTCAGTCGTAACAACATGAGTGAGGAAATTCGAGTAGTTTTGACACAGAAAGCGAAATTTGAATATTCGACACTTAGGTTCAAGATTATGCCAAAACTTCATGTTTTCCGTCCCCTTTTTGCTCACATCTCGGAGGCATAATGAGCGAGAACGCTCATTTGTACATCATTCTAGACAGAAATAAATGGCCTTTTCAGAAAGTGAACCATGGATGGGGAATTGTTGGCAGTTTTCTCAAAAAATGCTTGAATTTAAGAAGTTTTAGATTTGCGTGGTTTTTTTTTAGTCGCAAAATCCACTTGAACATAACGCTGCTATTTTCCAAGTTTCTCAAGAACGATTCGAGCCAGAGAATTCGGCATCGTTGGATAGATAATTGAATGGGGGGGTTAAGGCCCCCATGCCCCCCCCCTGGATCCGCCCTTGGTCGACACGATGTCTCAAACTTGAAAAGTCGCGTTTCGGGCCGTCTCGATGTGTTACACTTGACAAGTTGCGTTTACCGCAGTGACGAAGTGTCAAACTTGACAAATCGCGTTTTGGGCCGTCTCGATGTGTCACACTTGACAAGTTGCATTTGCTGCAGTGACGATGTCTCAAGCTTGACAAAACACGCTTTGTTTCGTCCCGATGTGTCAAACTTGACAAATCGCGTTTTGGGTCGTCCCGATATGTCAATTGCGATTGGTGCCAGCATAGTGCCGATATAACTTTCATCTCTCTTCTCTATCGATGCCGGTTTTCTTGAACGAAGTTAATCATGTTTGACGCAAGTGAACGCTTTGCGGTAGTCGATAAAACAAGCTTAGACCTTAGCATGCATCCACCTTTGCGTCAACCCGTTCAAGGCGAAAAGGGCTTCGCGCGTTCCAAGACCCTTTTTAAACCCAACTTGACTCCTGTTCACTCGATGTCACATTTTTGGTAGATTTTCCAGTTTTTCTATTTATGGCTTTGTGTTCTGTAGGCGCCGCTTTACTCGGGATTTCGGAAGTCATCCACTCCTTTCTCTTCTCATTTTCCTTTCTGTCTTCAATTCGGTGACACTGGCCGCTGTCACGGTGACACTGGCCGCTGTCACGGTGACATTGAATGACATTCTATGCCATCTAATGACATTCAACTGTTCAGATACTGACACTGTTGTGGACGTCATTGTCATCATCATCATGCCATTAATGTCACTCGTGCTACGTCCCTGTCAGGATCCTTCACGTCAACGTCTTTCCGATCCTGTTTGAAGAATTAATCGACAAACAACCGCAATTGGTGCACTTTGCCAATTAAGCGCTGGCCGCTGAAGGCTGATGTGAATTAATCTGGCATCGGGCCACTTTGAGCGGCTTACGAGTCGGCAGGTTTCACTGCTAAAACCAAAAGTGCGCGCCAGCCACACGCCAATCAATGGTTCCATTCTGTGCAAGCCACCTCGATTGTTAATGCAAATATGCAAATAGACTTCGGGCTTTTAGAACAACACGCGATTCTCCTTCCAGCCAACTAACGGTGCCTCAACTAATGGTGAATCATTCGGAATCGGCTGATTAAGGAAAGTTGTTGGGTCCGAGCTGGAGCTCCCTTAAGTCGTCTGGATCGCAGCAGTGAAAAGAAAGCGAAAAAAATCGAAAGTCCGTGGATGTTGGTCGGACTATTGACCAGGATCTGCAGGCGGTGAAAGTCCTTGCTGACGAATAGAATCGATTTGGGAGTGGAACCGTCATTGGTTCAAATATTAGCTTGGCCAGTGTTTTTTTTTCGCGTCAATTAACTCGATAATCTTTTGATACACTTGGACTGTTGGACTCGGGGAAATTTACGACTCAAGCCGGCAATAAATCAAGCGAACAATCGTTGTCTGGGGGGCTTACCGGTGAGCACAACAGCTGCTGGAGACGCTCCTGAGCATTCTGGCCCTTCTTCGGCCTGATCAGCAGGTATATTTGGGCCACGCCCGGACAACTCCTGAGCAGCTTTTCTAGGAGCACCTGGAAGGGCCAAAGGTTTAGTTTAGGTTCGAGGCGGAAAACTCTTCGGATGCCCCACCTTGCCCATAAACCCGGTGCCGCCCGTAATGAAGACGGTTTTCCCATTGTAGAAGTTAGCGACAGAGCCATGGGTGGCCATCATCGGCCCATTGGAGTGAAGAGCGGCCATGGGGGGGATGATAGACGCGCCGCTGCTGCTGCTGCTGGATGGAAACTCTTGGATCACCATATAGAAGACTGGATTAATCTAGGGACAGAACACAGTCGATTCAAGTGGCTTTGCGCCCATTAAAATTGATGGAAGTTCTATTTTCAGTACAGTGTGGTTGAACTTTCCCCGATACGATGGCTGTTTAATTTTTCAGGTACATGCGGGAGTTCACGACACCTCGGCATTACAGCTAGAGTTTCACTTTTAAGACGTTTTTGCGGTGCGCCACTGGTCAACTCCAAAATCTACAAAGCAATGACTATTCTGTTTGGAAACTTGTATCTGCGATGGTCAATGGGAGACTATTCCGACCCAACTATCAACAAATGCAACTGCAAAAATTCGCCAAAAATTCACGAAAAGCGCTAAGAAAGCGACATTTTGGCAAACACTACTTCAAAGTGTGCTGATCCACTGCCCTAAGCAGCATTTCTCCAACTGGACCGGTTTTCCAGAAATAAATTTTCGAAAATCGCACGGCAAATCGAGTCCGGTTTTGGGCCGCCCATGCAGGCTAATGCGGGAAAATGTGCCAAAAATCAACTAAAAGCTTCACGACCACTGCATTTTCCCCGTGAATAGACAACATTGTGCTTTATTCAGTGAAACTGTCTTTGATAAATAAATTTTCGAGCAATTTCCCTTCAAAGCCATGCAAGCGCTGAAAGTTCTCGCATTTGATGCACAAAATGGTTAAAAACTCGCCAAAAATCACCAAAAACAACAATTGCAGCGAAATCCAAAGCCGTGATCAGCATTTCCAATACTGTCAGCGAAATTTCTCAATCTGGGCCAGTTTTCGAGAAATAAGCTTGCAAAACCATTCGGCTCCATGCAACCAAATGTGTAAAAAATTGCCAAAAATCAAGGAAAAGTTCAAACAAATTGCAAACTTTGGCAACAGTAGAAGAAGGTGCGCTTTACCGAATTCCGTCAGCGAAATTTCTCCATCGGGGCCAGTTTTCGAGAAATAAATTTGCAAAAATCAGTTTCTGAGATAATTTTTTCAACAATCCCGTTGCGCCGCAAAATCCACGGATGCAACGCAATGTTTAAAAATTCACCACAAATCGCGGAAATGTGCAATTGAAGCGAAAGTTTCGTAAACAACAGAAAAAAGTGCGCGTTATCCAACGCCGGAACCAAAATCTCCCAGTGGGCGCTGGTTTTCAAGAAATAAATTTTTGAACTTTACCACAAACTACTCCACGTGGAAGTCACCAATGCAACCAAATGTGTAAAAAATCGCCAAAAATCAAAGAAAAGTTTAAACAAATCGCAAACTTTGGCAACAGTAGAAGAAGGTACGCTTTATCGAATACCATCAGCGAAATTTCTCCATCGGGGCCAGTTTTCGAGAAATAAATTTGCAAAAATCAGCTTGCAAAACCATTCCGCCACGAAGCCAGTCATCATGCAGCCGTCAGGGTAACAATGCGTCAAAATTTAACAAAAAATGCAATAAACGCGAATTTTTTTTTAAGCCAGAGAATAAAGTGTTCTTCATCCAGTCCACCAACCCAAACTAACCCAAACTGGAAGAGTTTCTGAGAAATATTTTTTTTAACAATCCCATTGCGCCGCAAAGTCCACTGGATGCATCGCAACGTTTAAAAATTTACCACAAATCGCCGAAATGTGCAATTGAAGCAAAAGTTTCGAAAACAACAGAAAAAAGTGCGCGTTATCCAACGCCGAAACCGAAATCTCCCAATGGGCGCTGGTTTTCCAGAAATAAATTTTTGAACTTTACCCCAAACTACTCCACGCGGAAGTCACCAATGCAACCAAATGTGTAAAAAATCGCCAAAAATCAAGAAAAAGCTCAAACAAATCGCAAACTTTGGCAACAGTAGAAGACGGTGCGCTTTATCGAATACCGTCCACAGGATTTCTCTATCTGGGCCAGTTTTTGAGAAATAAATTAGTGAAAATCGTCATCAGTCGATAGATGAACGGAAAACGTTGCTGTTGTTTTTCTATAAAGCGCTAGCAGATACGGAGAAGCACCCAAAAACCGAAAAGCTGCTAAACAAATAACGATTTTCCGTTTTAAAGCCTAGCAGTGTCGCATAGCAAAAAAGTACTGGGAAAATGGCACAATTAAACCTCCACCGGCACGTTCAAGAATTCTTTCGAGCTTACCATCAGGACTTTACTGTGTCTGATTAAAGCACTTACCTTTACGTGGTCAGTCTTGCTTCTTTTTCCCAGTGTCCGACATCTATTCAAAATCGGCGGAAATCCAACAGGTCCAAGTCCGGTCGAGCGGAAGGCGACTAATTTCGGCTGGAAAGCGGCGGTTCTACGGGTTCAGGGTTCTAATTGGGACCGGTTCTCTCTGGTTCTGTGGAAGAATTACGCTCTTTCCGGTACAGCCAGCTGGGCCCAATCAATTCTCATCGTGCGTTTACCTAAAAGTACCACGGATCAGTCAATCGGACCGAGACTGAGTCACTTTGGCAGGCGGGACTTTAAGGGCGGGTTTCGACTGAATCGGATCACCTTTGAGGGTGTTCGAACAGGCACAGGAACCGACGTACAAATGACTCAAAATTTGCATAACAGCCGATCTAAAGTGCGGCCTTTCGAATCCTTGACCGAGACCTAGCGGTTGTTGGGCGGCAAAAAATCAACTTTTACCTCACTGAGAGAAGGGCGCGAGAGAAAAAAATTGATAAATAGTCAGCGCAAATCAAAGGAGCGTGTCTCGATTGCCCCAATCACTGCCAACAATAATCAGGTGTTTATCGATGAGTAATTACCGATAAATATTCAATAGGCGGTTACATGGTCTCATGCTATTCCTCAATAAACTGGGCTCGAGCACTGAGTTCACTCACAAAACGCGGAAGAATTGAAGATGAGTACCAATACGCACCAAGAGCGTCGACTTCTAACTGGCCTTGTCCAAGAACTAGAGGTTCCGTTCGAGCACCATCGGTATTCCACGGACGTAGCTGAAATTTCTTCAGTTGTTGCTTTCTTGGGTCAGTGGGGTAAGCGAAAGAGTGAAGAACTGGGTCAATAGCGGTTACGGCGTTTCGGGCCCATTGCAGGGTCAATGTCTTCTTCAGGTGTGGAGGGCGAAGTCCAATGGGAACCTCCAGCTCAGCTCAAAGCGCACTGATTGACTGGCCCAAACCTTGGCCGGCCAATAGCAAACAAAAAACAAAATACTCCAAACAACTGGAGGACTTTGCTAAACAATTGCCAAAGCACTATTGTGCAGTTGAACACGTCCAGCACAAATAATATTTTGAACTAAAAAAAATGCTACAAACCCCCCGATTTTCCAGCAGCTTTTTGCCACCTTTGCCTGCACACAGCTGAAGAAAACTGATCGGCTCCGGACGGAGACGCCGATTTTTTAAAGCCAATTTACCATTGACAACTTATTAAATTCGAACTCTAATTACAGTAATGCAGGTTCAGCGATTATTCGTTCAACGGACACACTTATAACAATTAAGCAGTCAAAAGTGCCATTTGGAAAATATTTAAATGTGTATTTTTCCGCATTTGATTGCCTAATGGCAAACTGTTGGACTGGACTCAACGAATGGCATCTCAATAGGAGGAACAATAAAAGGTCCAGTTTATGTTCGTGGTCACATTAACGGCTGTTCTGCTAATTTATTTGCGGTTTCCTTCAAACAGTCAAGTTCAGGGAAACGGCATAAAAGCGAGTAAATATGGAACGCACCACTTGCGCTTTTACTAATAGAGGCTTATGCATCCGCATGTGTTTAAATTCGCCCAAAATCCGTCAACCGCCCAATTGCAGTGAAACTTTCGGTGCTAATAGAGAAAAGTGCATTTTATCCAGGACAGCATCAAGCATTTCTTTAGCTCGCTTAGTTTTCGAACAGTTATTTTTCAAAATCACCGTGCTTAGCCGTTCAAATACAAGACCAACTTTGAAGCCCACAAATTCCCCAAAAATCAAGGAAAAGCGCAATGCAAGCCACATTTTCCGGAACAATAAGACTAAGGTCTGGTTTATGAAGTGTGGCAGTCAAAGTATCTGCAACTCGAGCAGTTTAGAAATAAATAATTTTTGAAAATAGCGTCGCCGTTGCAAAAAGATGCCGCATGGCAAGTTTGAAAATTCTTCAAAAATCAGCAAAAGTCCCAATGCGAACGAAATTTTCAGCAACAATACAAGAAGGTGTGATTTACTGAGCAGCCTGGGCAAAACTTCCGTAGCTCTCCTACTTTTCGAGAAATTAATTTTTCAAAAGCCTCTTGCTTAGCCATTCAAGTACAAGACCAACTATGCCGACCTAAGCTTAAAAATTTGTCAAAAATCACGCAAAAGCGCAATGAAAGCCAGATTTTCGCCCACAATAGAAGAGAGTCTGGTTTATAGAGTATGGCAGTCAAAGTTTCTCCAGCTGGAGCAGTTCAGAAAAGAAATATTTTTGAAAATCGCTTTGCTCAGCCATTCCAAAAAGTGGTCACCTAGGCAGACGCAAGTTTAAAAATTCTTAAAAAATCAGCGAAAATCCCAATGTGAACGAAATTTTCGGCAACAATAGAAGAAAGTGTGGTTTACTGAGCAGCAGAGCCAAAACTTCTCTAACCGGGCCAGCTTTGGAAAAATTAATTGTTGAAAATCACGTTGTTTTGCTATTACAATTCTAGCGCGCCTATGCAGCGGTAAGACTAAAAATTTCTCAAAAATCACGACAAAGCGTAATGAAACTAGATTTTTTGGCAGCAATAGCCAACAGTATCCTTTATTCAGTACCGTAACAGGCATTTTCATAAATGCGCTAGTTTTAGGAAAATTAATTTGTGAATTTCGCGTCGCCCAAATATTTTATTACGAGGCTACCTACGCAGTGCAACATAGAAAAAATCGCCAAAAATCAACAGAAAACGAAATTATGGCCAAAATATTGGTGATGGAAAGGAAACGAATGCCCTATCGAGGCCGGAAGCAAAATTTTTCAAACTGGGCCAGCTAACGACAAAAAAACAAATTGAAAATCCCCTTGCAAAGCCGGAAAACTACCAACTCGACCACCCATGCAGCAGTAACAAAAAAAAATCTCCAAAAATCAATAAAACTCCCAACAAAAGGGCAAATTTGGGCACGAATAGAAGAAAGTCCGCTTTGTCCAAAACCATAGCCACCATTTCCATAGCTGAGTCAGTTTTTGAGAAATTAATAATTGAAAATCACTTTGCCAAACTCATTTCCTTATGAGGCCACTTATGCAGTGCAATGTTTAAAAATACGCCACAAATCGCCCTATGGTGCAACTGCGATGAAATTTTCAGAAACTATAGGAAAAAGTGCGCTTGATCCAGTGCCGCAACAGACATTTTGGCAACAGCAACAGTTTTCGAGTGAGAAATTTTTGAAACAATGAAAAGTGCAATTACAACAACGTTGCACAATGAAATTTGATCTCAACACTCATATAAATACGTCACTCACTAATACGAATGAATGTCTCAGTGAGTTAAATTGGCTATGAAAACCCCATACATTAAGGAGGATTCATGAGGCAGATGAAACAAAACGTTTCTCTCTTCTCAGTTGCAGACATCTTCAGGTCATGGTCGCCCATGAAATGCAGAGGTTTCCGGCCAGTGTAACAAACCTTGTAAACTGAACCTAATTAATATCATATCTTAGATGATTAACAGTGCATAATCCATATGTACTGGATGATTCATGGAATTACTATTCTCAAAACACCCCAATGTTTGAGGTTATAAAATGTCAAACTGACGTCTAAGGCGAATCAAAATGACCTTGACGGTTGCCGTAATTAGCCGAAGCACCTGACACGTGACCGCTAATGGGCACGACCACGCACGAAAGGTCTGCGGTGAGTTTTTTTCAATTTAGCGAATGGGCGAAAATTGATGTACCTTTTTTGGAATCCCGCAAAATTGCCAAACGCACTCAAACAATTCACATCGATTTCTGGCTTAAAACTGCGCTCGCTGGGTATTCACCAAATTGCGGTCGCACAATCGAACGGAAAATGCCATAAAACAAGCGTAATGCTGGCAAATATTCGCTCTTTATCTTATCGGGCATTAGTTCGTTTATTTATTGAAGGTTTCCAATGTTTAAATAAATAACTCGAATTCCCGTTATCCTGAATCAGCTGAAGGCTGCACCTATGTGACAGCCACCAATTATGCCAGTTTGCAGGTTAGGATTATCCAGAGTCCAGGCATAGTTACATAAAACCACTGTCCATTCGGATACGATTTACAATAAACGATCGAGGGGGTCAATCTATGGACACCCGTCCCCACCAGGACGGCCTGCCAGGCCATTCGAAAGCGATTCGGTCTTACCTTGGACGCCAGTCTGGACCGGCTGAATGCGGGCTTGCCGAAAAAAGCGGCGATCCGGACGAAATTAACACAAAACTGATTTTATCTCGGGCGCGGGGCTCGCGCACGCACCCCCCAACTCCCTTGCAGCCTTTTTCCACGCGAAACTACAGCCAGAAAACGGGTTAGGAAATAGTTTCGCGAAAAAATCAATATAATAACATGGGAGGCTTTGAAATTTGGGCGAGTTTCCACTGTTTCCCAGGGTCGGCCGTATGCGGATGGAAAATTCGCGTCGCTCGCGCCCTCTATCCACCCACCGGGCAAAATTTACAGAAATTGTTTTGTCCCCAAAGCGTTCCTCTCGGCGTTGCCGGCTGCGCTTGAATTACCTGGGGTTTGCGCACTGAGTGCACAGTAGGTAACAGGATTTACCAGAGGTAAATAATTATCTCCCTTGTCACTGGGACCTACATTTCTATTTATTCATCCGCTTTTGCTTGGCCCGGTGGTTTTGGAGTGAGAAACTGGGAAATAGGCGCTCCAAACGTGTGGATTGAGTAAAGTTGGGAAAGCATGCGGCAACAGTGGGCAGAGCGGGCTTTTTGAAGTCGCGGACTTCTCAAGGGGCGCAATAGTAGCCGCAGGCGGGTTTGGCTTCAATATGGCCTTATATAAGCCTTGTTCTATGAATTTGGCTTCAACATGCCCTTGATTTGGGCTTATTCTAAGGGTTGAGACGTGGCTCGTTTGGCTCTGCGGCGTTTTTTGGGGTTCCCAATCACGCCTCAGCTGCAAAGGGGGCTATAAAATCACTGCCTTTGCTTCCTGAGGAGATTTCGAACTGCAAACCGCTGCGAAAGCAGCGCAGCGAAGCAAAAAGGGCAAAAAAACGGGCAAAACCAAACCCATTTTGAACCCCGGCGGTTAAGTGGGCAGAGAGAGACAGCAGTATTGTTTACGGCATTCGCGTGCGTTGATTGGCGGTTGGCTTTTGGCGCGCTACGGTGGCGACGCGGTGGAACGCCTGCGAAGCTGCCGGTCAAAGCCAACTAGTGTGCTCGTATGGTAAGTCGATTTTGTTTATCTGTGAATAATTTTTATAAAATCAGTGGATTTTTTCACCAAATCGAGGAATTGAGATTAAAATATTAGTTTTTGCGTCCCAATTTACTGTGCCGGGTAAGTTTGGGTGCGATTCGCGGTTGGCCTGCAATTAATTTCGGAAAGCCAGTCCTCGACGTGAAAATCCGGCATGGCTGCCTGCGAGTTTGGCTGCCAGACGCCAAGCTGGACGACTGCGGGCTTTCGAAAATTAATTTCGCTGATGTTACGCGGTGAATTCGGGTGAAACTTGCTGGAAAATCTAGCTGGTTTTGTCCGGAAGGGGATTTTCGCGTGTTTTCCCGACCCGGGGCTTCGTCGCACCCGGAAAATATTTGGGTGTTGTCTGGCATTTTAATATTATATTATTTTGAGCATGGCGCGCGCGGCATCTGATTCGAGCGACGCCAAACGAACATCACACGACAAACCAGTTCGATTGTTGATTTTTCTCGACAATCCACAGATTTGTTTACGGAAATTTCGCGTCGATTCCCTTTCAGCCAACCGCGCTATTGGTGAACTCGACTGAACTTATTGTTGTCTTCTAATGCAGCTCCGCGACCGATCGATTTTCTATTTTGGGGAAGCGAAACTTTCGAAAAGCCGCAAAATGGCCGCTTGAACTGCCCCCCCTCAACACATTTTTAACGGTTCAACTGTCAAATGCCATGGAAAATGCCAAAATAGTTCCTTGAAAACTTTTCGTTAGGCCCAAGCGATCAAAACTAGAACCTCGCGCCAAATTTCTTCGCTCCAGAACTAATCAATTGGGGGCTTTCCAGATAAATTTTCTCGAATCTGAGCCCAACGATCACAAACATGTCCGATGAGCCAGCAGCGCCAGCGAAACGGGGCCGCAAGCCGGCAGCCGAGAAAGTAGAGAAACCCGAACCGAAGAAACGGGGCAAGAAGGTAAGCTGAGGTTGTTCAGGGGCTGAACCCCCACTAACTGAGGGTTCCACTTAGGAGGTGGCCAAGACCGAAGCCGACGGGGACTCCGATGGGGCGTCGCCAGCGAAGAGGGGCCGGGGCAGGCCCAAGGGTACCAGTAAAAAGAAGGCGCCCGCCAAGGCGGCCAAAGCGGCACCCAAATCCGCAGGTACCGGCCGTCGGGGGCGACCGTCGAAGAAGAAGGAGGAGGAGAGCAAGTCCTCCGAAGAGGACGCCGAAGATAACGAGGATGCCGAAGGGGAAGAGGATGACGACGAGTAAACTCACCCAGTCTAAACCGGCCGGAACAGTTTTCCCTATAGACATTTGACTCGCCGTGCCCTGATCTTCGTTTGTTCGGGCTGCTGGTTTCACTTCTCATTCCAGACCCCACTTTCACGCTCTGGATGTGTAGAAACTGTTAGTTTAATTAATGTAATGTAAATTTTAGTTCGTAAGTTCGCTTCTGATTCCTGGGCTGCGCTTGCTTGGGACGAGCGTTCTTCTTTTCGGTCTGGAAATCTGGAACGTTGGCCTCCGCAACGCGTGACCCTGGAGCAATTCACAATCTATTTTTTTTAGTCTCTAAGTTAATGTAAATTAATTAAGCTGTCCAGAGTCACGATTATAATGTTCAAGTCGGGATAAATGTCAATAAATTCCTTTCGTAATACGCTGGTTTTTGCCTGGTGGAAAGGGGAATGAGCATCACTTGGCGTAACAATGCGAACTCTAAAGGTGCGTTAAGAGGATGCGATGGACAATCATTACGTGCAAACCAAGAATCTTCCGGATATCCACACCAGAAGAGTCTAAAAGCCAGACTACAGGATTGGAAGCACACAAGATTCGCCTTGATCAGGAATTGAAACTAATGGGTTTTTAGGCCGTCGTTCGGTAGAATTTCTTCTTGACGTTTCGCAAGCACGAGTGGTTTGCTTGAACGCTTACACTGTTCTCATCAGAACCCGCGTTCAGTTCTGCGGCAGAACTGATCGGGTTCTGATGAGAACAGTGTAAGCGTTCAAGCAAACCACTTCTGAAGATGCAAGCCACTCGTGCTTGCGAAACGTCAAGAAGAAATTCTACCGAACGACGGCCTAAAAACCCATTAGTTCCAAGGAATGGCCTCGACAGTCTATCTCTTTTGATCATCAGGAATTGTTTCATAGACCCTCAAATTCAGCAATTTAATTCAGTTGCAACATCCAGTTGACGCCAGTTGGTAGAAATAAGTTTTAATTAATAAAAATCAACAGTACCTTAAGAAGGGAGGGATATTTACAGGAAATTTACGGGTCACCACTGTCTAATCCTGCTTAAAGGTGGATGAACAATTAGGAAATACATCAGTTCTTGATCGTGATCGAAATTACACCCGGATCCAGTACATGGATGATCGGATGTTGTTGTAGTCGGGCAGGTTCTCGACTGGGCCAACGGCGGCGATCGCCGGACACCTAAAACAGCGAAATCAGCACAGCGCCCAGCCGCAAAAGACCCTCGCAATCACCTGTCGTACAAGTACTTGTACATGACATCGCGAACATTGCGGGCTGTAATGCTGTTGATGCGATGGGTCAGCTCATGAGGCGGCAGCCGCCTTCCGTAGCATAGCAGCTGGCGCCCGATGTCTTCGCAAACGGCAGTGGAGGTGTCCAGCTGCAGCAAAGTGTTGGCGGTCAGCAGAGCCTTGGCGCGCTCCACTTCTCCCTCGGTCACGCTGGTGCACAGCCTCATGAACTCCTCTTGGATGTTGAACACCATGTCCTCGATTTTCAGGGGGTCGCACACGAAGTAGATGCCCCACAAGCCGGTGTCCTAGCGGGTGATGTTCAACTTGAACTGGTGCGCTCAATGTGATAAAACTCAGTGGCTCACCTTGTAGCAAGTGTTGAAGCTCTGGAACGAGTGGCACAAGTCCTCTTCGCCGCTGGCGCGCGCCAAGTTCGTGGCGTTCTGTTTGGCTGAAGCTTGAGATCGGTCCCAAGCTCCCAACAGGGTGGAGCCCACCATCAAGCTCAATGTGTCCGGGTCAGACCAGCCGGCTCCTTCCACAGCCATCGCGATATGCGCCAGTGGAAGAGTGTCATCTCGCACTCGAACCTCCGATCCGGTGAATCGGCATGAGGTCAATTTGGGAATTTCGCCCGTGTAAGTGTTGTCTGCAACCAGGCCCTAATTGAGCTGCAGTTCTTCTGGCGAACCCGAAACTTACTCAGTTGCCCCAAGCTGCTCTCGGCCAGTTTCACCAAATCCTCATGGCAGACGCCTCCTGCTCCCGACACCACAATGCGACTCGCTTTGTAGTGGTTGTCCAAGTAGTACCTCAGGTCAGTTGCGTTGATGGAACGGATGTTCGCAGTGGGCCCTGCAAGCAGCACTTTTACATGGGGAGCCGTCTAGGAGCAGTTGAGGGCCTACCTAAGATGGTGTTGGCCAGTGGCGTGCCCTGGTAAGCGACCGAGTGCAAGTGGTCGAAGACCACTTCCTGCAAATTGGACTCGACTTCTTGCATTTCCCTCAGAATCACCCCTCGTTCTCTCTCGATCTCCGCCTCGCCGAGCTTGGCGTTTTGCACGATGTCCGATAGAATCTCCACAGCCTGTTGCATAAAGAAAAGCGGTGTCAATAACACAAACTTGTGGAATTTGCGTAACTATCTACCTTGGGCACATCCTTGGCCAAGCACTTGGAGTAGTAGACAGTCTGCTCCCTGCTGGTGTAGGCGTTCAGTTGGGCCCCCAGGTCCTCAATTTCGAGCTCCAGCTGGCTTTGAGTGCGTTTACCAGTTCCCTGCAGAGCAAATTGAAACCTTGCACTCCGCCCTCACGCCAAACCTACCTTAAAAGCCATATGCTCCATGAAATGGGCTACGCCATTGTTTTTCTCGTTTTCGTAGCGGCTGCCTGCGTCGATCCAGATGCCCACTGTGGCCGTCTGGGAGCCCCAGTCCTCTGTAGCAACCCTGATACCTAAACAAAATTTGCCATGAACTTCAGTTTGTTATGTAAATCGGTTACTCTCACCATTGCTTAGAGTCGTCACCTTGGTGGGCGGCACATTTAAGGAGACCTGCTTGGGCTCTGCGGCAGCACTGGAGGCTTTCCTCAGGGCCTGAAACGCAAATCAAGAGCTGAACTTTGGGAACTGGGGTTATGTTTTGTTACGTAAGTTGCCCTGGGGCTGGACATTGGCAGGCTCGAGTGGGTGAAATTTTGGGCGGTTTGCGTCGGCTTACCTTGGATAGACTGGGGGTTTTTGATAATTTGCCCACTGACTGGGACAATTTCAGGATTGAGGACATTTTTTCTTTGGTAAATCGACGATGACAAGCAAGTGACACTTTCGGCCGCCGATTGTGAACAGAGGTTTTACGCGGGCTGGTTTGCGGATTGCGCTTGGTGGACGTATATCTGCTCTTGTCTACTAGACAGAATTTCCCGGTTGGGGCTTAAGATCTGCAATGGCAATTTTAGTGAGCAACTGGAAGCATATTTAGGCAAGAGCCGTGCAAACGAGTCGTAGAAACTAGTAGGTTTATTTAATAAAAAATGGCAAATTGTCCAGGAAATCAACAATGTAGAAATCCGTCTTAGGGATGCGAAGGCACGCCCGAAATCGCGATAATTGTCATTGTCATTAAGCGCAAAATTTGCCATTGTCTCGAACGTGGGGAACTTCATTAGTCACCCTATGCATGTTTAATCGGTTTTTTGCGGCCCATTTTTGACTGTGTCCGAATCACGCCAGGGGAGAATTTTACTGTGCCCCCAAGTATCCGATGTCTAGTGCTGAAATAGCAGACAGCTCCGTCGATCCTCCATCTAAGAAGCGGAAGCTAGAGCCGAAAGGCACCAAAGATATGGCGAACAATGGAGTGGCTTCAAGTTCCCAGGTAAGGAAAAAACGGGATTTGCGGTCGGTTTCTGGCTGTCCAAAAGCCTCGCAAGCCCTTTGGGCGTTTTATTACCCGCCATAAGCTAAATCAGTCTCAATGTACTGACTTGGAATTGCACAACGCACTGATAATAACAATCGCTTTGCATTGGGGTTCAATGCCATTAGATTGCCAAGAGCCCAATCTGAAGGAGAATCAAAGACACTAAACGTCAAGTAAAAGGTGCTAAACCTGTGTGTTTCAGGGCCCCAACGCTGATATTGATGAAGGCCTGTACTCAAGGCAGCTCTACGTGCTGGGGCACGACGCCATGAGGAGGATGGCATCCAGCGACGTGCTGGTGTCGGGCCTAGGAGGCCTAGGGGTGGAAGTGGCCAAGAACGTCATTCTAGGTAAGTGGGCTGGCCCCAATGGGCAGCCACCGACTACATCTGGTTCTTCGCTCAGGTGGCGTCAAGTCCGTAACTCTGCACGATGACCAGTTGACCAAGATGTCCGATCTCAGTTCCGAGTTTTTCCTCTCCGAAGAGGACATTGGCAAAAATCGCGCCGAGGTCGTTTGCAAGAAACTAGCGGAACTTAACAATTACGTGCCTACGCGCACTCACACCGGCACTCTGGATGCCGACTTCCTCAAGAACTTTCGCGTAGTGGTCCTAACTAACTCAAATCGCAGTGAGCAGTTACGAATTAGTGAAATCACCCATGCCAGCAATATCGCTTTGATTATTGCCGACGCGCGGGGAGTGTTCGCTCAAGTGTTCTGCGACTTTGGGGACACTTTCACAGTGGTCGACACCAACGGGGAGCCGACAGTGTCCGCAATGATTGCAGATGTGAGCAACGACAAGGAAGGTGAGTCTGGGACCATCAGTTGAAACTCTGCAGGTGCCAGCGACTAACCCAAACGTTTTCCAGCTGTTGTCACTTGCATTGACGATACAAGGCATGGCATGGAGGATGGCGACTTTGTGACCTTCTCAGAAATCGAGGGAATGACCGAGTTGAACGGCTGCAGCCCCATGAAGATCAAAGTAAGTGATAAACCACACCTTTGGGTGGCGCTAAACATGCCCTTGTCCTGTAGGTGTTGGGGCCTTATGCGTTCAGCATTGGAGACACCAGCGCCCATTCGAAGTACCAAAGAGGAGGAATCGCCAGCCAAGTGAAAATGCCCAAGGAGCTGCACTTCAAGTCGCTGAAAGAGTCGCTGGATAATCCGGAGTTTGTCATCACGGTATGTGCGGCGAGTTGCGATCATTGTAAGCGTTGGGGTGACGTGTGGAGCGGTTTTAGGACTTTGCGAAGTTTGACAGCCCCTCGCAGCTACATCTGGCGTTCAGCACCCTGCACAGCTACGTGGAGAAGCACAATAGGGTGCCTAAACCATGGAGTCAGGAGGATGCTGCCGAGTTTTTGGCCATCGCAAAAACCAACGGCAGCATCGGAGATGCGGAGCTCAATACTGGATTGCTGGAGATTTTCGCCAAAGTAATTCAACTTGATTCGTTATGGGAATTTTCATTTATTGAACTCGACTTAAAGGTTTGCGCTGGCGATTTGAACCCCATCAACGCGACCATCGGCGGAATAGTGGCTCAAGAAGTGATGAAAGCTTGTTCGGGCAAGTTCCACCCCATTTTGCAGTGGTTGTACTTTGACGCAATCGAAGCCCTGCCGGCAGACCGGACGGAAATCACCGAAGAACTGGCCAGCCCTCAAGGCGGCCGCTACGACGGACAAATCGCAGTCTTTGGCAGGGACTTCCAAAGCAAAATCGGTAGGAAAACGAAGTGCGGTTGTGTCGAGTGAACGGTTTCATCTTATGTGGTTTTCCAGCCGACCAAAAGTACTTTGTGGTGGGAGCGGGCGCCATCGGATGCGAGCTGCTGAAGAACTTTGCCATGATGGGTCTGGGCACCGACAAGGGCTACGTGATCGTCACCGATATGGATCTGATTGAGAAGTCGAACCTCAACAGGCAGTTCTTGTTCCGGCCTCATGATGTGCAAAAGGCCAAGGCTGATATTGCTGCAAAGGTAACCCCGGTGTAGCCCTGTTGGGGCATTGATGCTAAATTTAGCGCGTTAAAGGCCATCAAGAACATGAATCCTCAAGTAAACATCGAGGCGCATCAGAACCGAGTGGGCCCGGAAACCGAAAACGTCTACGACGACGAATTCTTCGAAAAACTGGACGCAGTCGCCAACGCCTTGGACAACGTCGACGCAAGAATCTACATGGACAGAAGGTGCGATTTCTTTCAGCCCTCGTCCTGTTCGCTTGCTAACTCTCTGCGGATTTCTCAGGTGCGTCTACTATAGAAAGCCGCTGCTCGAGTCCGGCACGCTGGGCACCAAAGGAAACACCCAAGTGGTCGTCCCGTTCCTCACAGAGTCGTACAGTTCGTCGCAAGACCCGCCCGAAAAGAGCATCCCCATATGCACGTTGAAGAACTTCCCCAATGCCATCGAGCACACGCTGCAATGGGCGCGGGACATGTTTGAGGGCCTGTTCAGACAAAGCGCGGAAAAGGCCTCCCAATACCTCAGAGAACCGGACTTCATGGACAGAGCGTTGAAACTGCCTGGCGTGCAGCCTTTGGAAGCTGTAGAATCTGTTAAGGCCGCCTTGGTCAATGAGAGGCCCAGCACATTTGATGACTGCATCGTGTGGGCAAGGTACCACTGGCAGGTAAGCGCAACTAGTCCATTTCATTGTTCGTCAGACAGTCCCTGATGATGCCTGGTGACCGAAACTTTTACCTGTTGTAGAATGGGCTTTTCTGAATCGAGGGTAACAAGGCGGGAGCTTCTAGCTCTTCCGGTTTACTCGCCAATATTTTTTTAGGAGCAATTGCAGATTTTTTTCGGTCCCATGGCAATCTTAGTAGCAATGAAGTAAAAGTGGCTGAACTTTGAAAATTTCTAAAAATATCCCTGATGATGCCATCGAATTGAAACTTTCACATATTTTAAAGTGCACTCTTTTGCTTCTTAGGCAAATGCCCGCAAAATGCTGGTTTTTCTGGTTTGGGCGTAGTGATTTTTTCGGCCCCATTGCGATCCTCTTAGTAGCAGTGAAGTAAAAGTTGCCGAACTTTGAAAATTTCTAAAAAAATCCCTAATAATGCCATCGAATTGAAACTTTCACATATTTTAAAGTGCACTCTTTTGCTTCTTAGGCAAATGCCCGGAAAATGCTGGTTTTTCTGGTTTGGGCGTAGTGACTTTTTTCGGCCCCATTGCAATCCTCTTATTAGCAGTGAAGGAAAAGTTGCTGAACTTTGAAAATTTCCAAAAAAATCCCTGATGATGCCATCGAATTGAAACCTTCACATATTTTATAGTGCACTCTTTTACTTCTTAGGCAAATGCCCGGAAAATGCTGGTTTTTCTCGTTCGGGCGTAGTGATTTTTTTCGGCCCCATTGCAATCCTCTTATTAGCAGTGAAGGAAAAGTTGCCGAACTTTGAAAATTTCTAAAAAAAACCCTGATGATGTCATCGAATTGAAACTTTCACATATTTTAAAGTCCACTTGTGATCTTCCAAGGCAAAAATCGGGAACATTCTGGCTCTCGGGTTTGCGCATTAACCAATGGAAATTGTTCAAATCTGACTGTTTTTGCAGGAACAATACAGCAACCAAATCAAGCAGCTGCTTTTCAATTTCCCGCCTGACCAGTTGACCACTACAGGGCAGCTGTTCTGGTCTGGACCGAAGCGCTGCCCACAAGCTCTGGACTTCGACATCAACAATCCGCTGCATTTGGATTACGTGGTGGCTGGAGCCAACTTGAAAGCTCAGGTCTACGGGCTGCCCACCAATAGAGACCGGAGTTACATTGCCCGAGTGGCCGCTGCAGTTGATGTGAGTTTCCGTGCGCTGATTGCCGAAGTTGCGTGGTTTCCATCCTGGACTCTCTTCTGGCTTTAGATCCCGGAGTTCGTCCCAAAGTCCGGAGTGAAAATCGCCGTCACGGACTCCCAAATGGCCGCGAATGGAAACAATGTGGACATGGATCGCATCTCTATGCTGCGCGCTGAGCTGCCGTCCAGAGAGGAGTTGGCTGGCCTGGTTTTGACTCCGCTGGAGTTTGAAAAGGACGACGACACTAACTTCCACATGGACTTTATCGTGGCGGCGTCCAATCTGCGGGCCATCAACTACAAGATTGCGCCCGCCGATCGGCACAAATCGAAACTCATTGCTGGTAGGTTGATGGTGCTGGGAGGAAGAGCGAGTGTTGGAACCAGTCGATTTTCAGGAAAGATCATTCCGGCCATCGCCACCACCACCTCCGTGGTAGCAGGCCTGGTCTGCTTGGAGCTCTACAAGCTGATTCGATCTCAGAGAAGTCTCGAGCCTTTTAAGAATGGGTTCGTCAACTTGGCCCTGCCCTTCTTCGGGTTCAGCGAGCCAATTGCAGCTCCTCAGCGGGAGTATTGCGGAAACAAGTGGACGCTTTGGGACCGGTTTGAGATCCAAGGCGAGATGACTTTGTCCGAGTTCCTGCAGTATTTCCAGGTAGGTTCTAGCATTGATACGGGCCTGGTAGAGCGGGGGGCTAAATCGCAGTCTCTAGGAGAAGCACAATTTGGAAATCACCATGCTGTCCCAAGGCGTGTGCATGCTCTACTCGTTCTTCATGCCCAAGTCCAAGGCGCAGGAACGCCTGGGGCTGAGCATGTCCGAAGTGGTCCGCAGAGTGTCGAAGAAGAAGATCGAGCCCCACGTGAGGGCTCTGGTGTTCGAACTCTGTTGCAACGATGCCGATGGGGAGGACGTGGAGGTCCCCTACGTGAAGTACAACCTGCCATAGGAACCGATTTGGGCACATTCACCCCCATCCAAGCTGTAACCAACCGAAATTGTGATCTATTTTTAAATTCAACTCTATAAGCGCCTCGCTTTGGAGTTTGGCGTCTTAATTGTGGCATTGTTTTGGGGGCCGAAAAACGTAATTTATATTTATCTACTTAAAGGCACACATCAGTTGAGCATGTTTCGGTAATAAATTAATCCCTACCAAGTACTTGTGTTGTTGCAATGAACCTTTTTAGGTTCTGTTCGTTTTAGTTAAGTAGCTGGAAATACTATAGAGCGCATTACTCACTCGGTGTTTTATGGTCTTTATACTGTACTGCTATTACGTTAAAATACATTTGGATTATCAGGAGTTTTTCTGTTTAAAATTGGCGTAGTTGTCAAGCTTTTCGCAGCGCCCCCATTGGCAGCTGTATGCGAACGTTGACGCGCCGCTGTCAATCGCTCACCAAACATTGCGGGAAAGTTTGGCGTTTTAGTTGGAAAGTTGCCAACATCTTGCCAGCGTTTATGGCAGAGAGCTGGAAAAAATCCGGCGCTAGGCAACAGTGTAATCAGATGACCACCCAGTTATTCCTAGTTTGATTTATCAATGACGTCAAGCCCACATTAAGCAGCCTGGAATGCTTGATTCCATTGCAATTGTCGCTGATTACTTGGCTTTCCAGGCAAAGCTTTGTATTCACTTGCAGGCATCAGGGACTCAGTTGGAAACGGCGCAAATCCGACCCGTTCGCTCCCATTTGATGGCGTTTTAGCTCAGACGGCCTTGCCGGGTTACATAACGCCACCATTTATCTAGTCAGTGTTTTATTTTACTTTGTTCCTTCGACTAAGCTATTTTTATTTTTGTTGACATGCCTAACCCCACTCGGCCGATTTCCGTGCTCCCTTTGATCAATCGACGTATCCGGTGATGCCGTCTCTGTCACGCGTCGCGCTGCGCCACCATTGACCGCAGTGCGAGCGAGCGAGACGGCAGATCGCCCACTGTGACAACCGGGCAGTTCGCAATACGTCCACTCGTAATTGTAGTAGTTTTGAAAACAGTGTCTGTGGCGATTGTGCGTCAGGAAAAATCGGCGTAAAATACGATGGATGCCCCATTAAGAGAACAGGTGATGATCAACCAGTTTGTGCTGGCGGCCGGTTGTGCTCGCGAACAGGCCAAACAGATCCTGCAATCGGCCCATTGGCAGTTTGAGGTAATTAGGCGAGCCGTCTGTTGTTGTAAACAAACGTGATGAATATGGCGGCCACGGCCGTCCGGTCCCCTTTGCCCCCTCGATGCACTGTTGCCATACATTGTTTGTTTGTTTTGGTGGTCCGGTCAATGTAAATAAACAGTGGAGTTTCATCCGCTTTGCAGCCAATGAACAACAGCATGCGGAATACAGTTAATGTCTGAATTTCATTTGCAGACCGCTCTTAGCATATTTTTCCAAGACGCCGCTCTGCCCAGTTGCCCACATGGAGTCAATTCACATTTTGGACAGGTGAGGTACAAGTAATTCACCCCCACAGTGAGTATTGGTGTCTGTGACCACGGAAACTATGTCCCAAACTTTTTGGCAGTGACGCAATACAAACGTCAAATTACTCGTTGTCGAGTGACAGTTAAGACCTGTCAGACGTGTTCATTTTTTATTGGAGTTCATGACAATTATGACATAAACAATACTTACACGCTTTTCGATCTGTTTCTCTTTCGTTAAAAGCTCGCAAAAGTTGATTGGAACCGAACAAATCAATGTCAAAATGTGAAATAAAAACGTTCATATCGTTTATTTCATATTTATACGTTTCGGCGAGACAACAGCGCCATCATCAGATTTAAAATTCAACACAAACCCATAATTGGGAAACATTCGATTCTTTTTAGGCTTTGGTGCCTAAAAAGAATCGAATGTTTCCCAATTATGGGTTTGTGTTGAATTTTAAATCTTATGATGGCGCTGTTGTCTCGCCGAAACGTAAAAATATGAAATAAACGGTATGAACATTGTGACTGAAACCCAGGAAAGAAAGTGAATTTCAGTGGTGTAGCAGTTGATTGGACAGGGTCACAAAACTGTATGTTCCTTTGAAACTAACTATTTTGTTCGACAATCGAAGACGGCTGGTGTCATTTCGGTGAACTGTGCAGGTGATGACGCCCTGTAACACACCGGCCACGCCCCCAAACTTCCCCGACACGCTGCTGGCCTTCTCAAAGCTGTCAGCCGGATCGCCATCGCAAGGCCCGCCCATGATGATGCAGAATGGGGCGCCGCCCCAACCACAGGCTGCCACGCAGTCGCAACGATAATAATCCGCCTGCTTCGACTAGTCGCAGGTTAAGCAATGAGTTACGTTTAGAGTTCTTATGGTAGTGTTCTTTTCCTCCCGAGACATTGACGGTGTATATTTCACATGGAGCCAGAGCCGACGTGGAACTGTTCACAAGCGGACGCTCCTCTTAGTTTGCTAGTTTGTTTGTTAAAGTGATATGGTTAGACGGTGGTTGTGAAGGGCGCACGAGATGGAAATTGGAGTGAGAGGCTTTGGGTCCGTTCGGGTTCAACCTACATGTTCAACTGCTTTGAAACCCATTTAGAAGTTACGTGTTTATTTTGAATTATAACATGAAGATAATAAATACCCTAAGGAATTGCAAGGTGGAAATTGACTGAATGCAGTACAGGTGGGGTTAGCTTCATTTGAAAACAAACTGCGTCAATTCGCACAGTTACCCGAATAAAACAACAAATCTGCAAAATCCAAACCTATAACGAACCTTTACTGTGGCGGAGACTCGCGAAAGTAGGCGGCCGCGTTCGGGTAGCGCTCCGGATTGAAGTCCTGATTGGCGCTCAGATTCGCCTGCACCGTTGATTGGAGCAGGCTGCCGTAGGCCGACTGGATCTCCGACGATTCGCCGGCTGCTTCTGCAACCGCGTCCAGAGGGGCAGCAGCCGCCAGTCCCGCATTGGTCACCACTTGGCGCAGGCTCTCTGAAACAGCCGCTCATTGGTTCCGGATGTTTCACGCCCCCCACACGAACACCAACCGGAAATCGTCTGCGACACGCCCCCTTGCGGCTTGGAGTTGCTGATCAGCTTCCTCCTCTTGCTCGGCATACCTGAGATGTACGCATCGCTGAACGGTGGCTGTGCGCTTTGCTTGCGCTGTCGCTGGATGTCTCTACTGATCAGCGGCACCCATTCCTAGGCCGAAGCACAATTAGAGGATTACAGCGAGATTTTAGGCTCATTTACCTCAGGGGTTTGGGCGTGCCATTGTTCTGCGCCCCAAATCACGTTGGGCAGCGGCTCGGTTTCGTCGGCAAGCGGCGGCTCTGCATCAGGTGGACTGGCCGCGTCCACTTCCATGGACTGAAAGTGAATCGGTGAAAAGCAGGCGATCATCCGCAACCAGCCAACTCACCTCCACAGGCTCCTGAACAGTTGCCTGGTGCTCCGCAGGAATTTCCACTGGTTCGTTTCTCACCAAGTACCGATCAAGTCCAACCTCTTCCGCACCCAGCTGCTGAAAATAGGCACTGAGCAGCGTGTTAATGCTCCAGAGCGCCGAACGCTGCACCTCGCTGAGGCCGCCGGCCGGACTCAGCACTGTGGACAATTGCTATAAACGTGGTTTGAGGATGCTCGCCGAAAGTGACCGTCGCAAACTCACCAGAATCTGGTTGCACATCGTCACGAGGCTCTCTTGCCCGTTGGCGCAGCAGCGGATGGTCAGGGCGAACAGCTCGCGGACTAGCGTTAAAATGCTGCCAAAGAAAGTCGCCGCTTCGTCCTCGCCTTCCCCTGCAACAGAACCTGCTCGCCTGGTTAACCACTGGAACCCCGCCCCCTTGCAACCACGCACCGATTGCCTGCCGGATGATGGCCGGCACGTTCTCCCTGATGTAGTGAAGCGCGGTGCGCCCCATGTTGATGTTTTCCCTGGTTGGGAGCGTCTCCTGCAACAGCAAAAGAGTGAGCGCCCGAACACAGCGGCGCATTAGCGTGCAGTACCAGCGCAGCAATCACCGGGTTCAACTCGGCCAGGATTCTTTCAGTGGCTTGAGCGATGCCGGCGTCGGAGACGTCGTTGCGGCAAACTTGCTCGAGGAAAAAGCGCTGAATTCTGGGCATCTGGCGGTATAGCGGCGACCAGGACCCAGTCACCATCGCCATAAAGTCACTGGGGGCAGCAAAGGGGCGGTTACAAAACGGACGGCGAAGAGGGGCGGCAACCAATCACCTGAATTGCAGCTGTCCGAACACCAGCATGATCAGGTCGATCAGGAGATGCTCGCCCTGAACGTACGGCGCCTGGGTTAAGTTCTGGACCAACACGTTCAGCGACGGGCCCACGTAGTCGGAGTTCTACAACAAACAGAGATCGTGTAAAAGCGTTCTGCATCGAAGATTTGTGGGTCATCCTGCGTGTGCACTAACCCGCTCTACTAGCCCCAACACCAAGTTGATCAGGTCTGCAGAGGCGCGGGCGGTAGGCGAGGGATTGCTCGACCTCGGAGGCGCAGCTCCTGCCGGAGGCGCCGACTCATTGGGCGGCGCCACCGCAGGATCCGTCACCTGCTGACTGGCCCGTTGTCTAACTCTAGCGTTCGCAGCATCTAGTACGCTGGCAAGATGCGCCCTTATGCGCGCAGCTGCCGCTTCACGTTCGGCAAGCGTTTGAGTTGGCGGCGGCGGCGCCGTTCCTGCAACGTCCGTTGCATAAACATAGAGAATGCGAGTGCCTGCAGGCTGCTCACCTGCATCTGTAGGTGTGCGCGATGCCTGTTGCTGGGGCTCGACGGTCACAATCTGCAAGGCAAAATCCGGTAAAAGGCCAAGCAATGGCATCGTCGATTCGCTCACTCTTTGAGGTCGGGACTGGCACACATGGTGCGAGTAGCAGTGCAAGAACGGATCAAAGCCTCCCTGTACCGCTTGCTGAGTCATGTGCACATGAGGGCGCGTTGCGGCACGCGGCTGGGCGCCTGCCGTCGGATTCGTTTGCGTGGAACGTGCCTGAAACGCACAGGATGCTAGCAAAGGATGTTGTTGTCGGGCCGTTTACCTGCGAGGGCTGTTGCGCAGCCTGTCCATCCGCCTGTGGCTGATTGGGCGCAGCCCCACCCCGCACAGCTTGCACCTGGGCCAGTGTATCCCCCAATTGGTTGCCCACAATCTGCATGAGCGACTGAATCAGGTTGCCCCCTCGCAGATCTGCAACGCACACACAGGGAGCGGTCAGCAACAAGCAGCATGGGGCGTTCCAGCTTTACCTTCCGGCGTAACATCCATAACAAACTCCAGTTCGCGGCCGTTCGTGCCAATCGTTGGAGACCCCTGTGCCAACAGGACGTTCGCACCGTTTGAAGCAGGCGCCACATCAGCGGAAACTTGACTACGGACGCGGATATTGTTGAAAATGCCCAAGGGGTTGGACAGTGTGGGCTGCGGATTGCGAGCACCGCCAGCGGATACGTTGTTGTTGTTGGGCGGGCGCCGCGGCGCGGCGTTGCGAAGCGGGCGGATTTCCACCGGAGTGGTAAACACCCGCATCGAGGCCGGCACAAGTGGAATTCCTGCCGACAAAAAGGCGCCTCCAATTGCTTTGCAAGGGGAGAAAAGGTCTGATACGCACCAACGAACCCGGGCTGCAAAGTGATGCTGGGCTGAGCCTGTTGCGAGGGTTGCGACGGAGACTCAGTGGCGTTCGCGGCTTCAGAAGCGCCCACCATCGTGGGATTTGTCGTCGTTCCAGTGGAACTGGTTGCAGTTGTACTGCTGGACGTCGCCACTGGCCGATCAGGCGTCAAATTGATTTGTGCCTGCAAAATTCCCACTGGGGTTCTCCCATGTGTAAAACCACGGCGTTCTCACCTCCAGCTGGATTGGGATCCCGGCGGGGACCATCGCGGGCGGCTGTATCAGAATCGGCCGACACAGCAATGGCCTGGGCGCAGGATTGCTGGGCAAAATGATTATATCGCTTAGGCTGTGATAGGCATGGCCTAGGAAGTGCATCACTTGGGACACCCTGTTCAGCATTTGGTTGGTTTCTTCCAATTCCTGCAGGAGGAAACGGGGGCTCGTTGAATCAAGTCTGCCCTCTACTAACGGCCGCTTACCTCTGGAGGCACTTCGGGGTCGTTCTGCATGAAATCCTGATAGCGCGCCAAGAACGGCGCGTATCGGGCCTGCAACTGATTCAGAGTGGATAACAACGCAGCCATTTGCGTTCCTCGGCATCTCCTGCAACCGCAAAGGAAAACTTCAGGATTCTTTCGGCCGAAAGACGCGCACTTACAGCCTGGGTGGACTCTGTGGATCGGTATGCGACGAATCGGTGCCAATTCCTTCTGCGCTCGAGTTTTCCGACGCCGACGTCCGAAGACTATCACGGGATGTTGTGCCCTGAGTGGCGGTTGTGCTTGCGTTGGTCGGCATGTTCACAATGCTGGCAATTCCCCAAATACACACATCATTTATCACTAACTTGTATAAATGGTGTCATCGCCAGTGTATTTTCTACTTACCTTGAGGGTGGAAAAATGGAGTTTTGCACCGCATTTAAGATGGCCGTTCCGTCTATGGGCTGATTGGGGTTGGTCGGGACAATGACTCTGAGTCACAGTTAAAAACGTTTTATGACCTCAATGCGATTGAGCGTCCGTGAAACTTTACCTGGCCTCAATGATGGGCGTCATCTCCTCCTCGTTGGACTCCTCGGGCTGAACAGGCGGCTCCTCTCCATTGGGGCTCTCCAGCTGCCGAATCACATTCTCAGCGTGGCGCAACATCCTGCAAATTAAATGCGAAATGCAATGTGCATTGGCACAGGGCTTCGGGCGCCCACCTTCGGGCAACGTTCAGTCGGCTAGAGCTCAGAGTGTGTGTGGCCCTGGGAGGAATCATCTGCTGGGGATCTAAAATGCTAGGAGGAATGGTCACCGGGCTCATGCCCATGTAGACGGTGTTTCCAACGCGGTCGAAGCCCCGGAAGCCGCCCCGTGCCCGATTTAGGTCGGGCGGCGGCGTCAAGGAGCGGTGGATGCGGGGCCCTGGATTAGGGGGCACAGTTTGCACCAGATGTACCACTTTGTCGTTGAGATCTAAAAAAGACCAAAGTTTTGGGACCTGTGGCCGTTCAGTGAGTTCGCCTACCATAGTCGGAAAGTTTGGCGTCCTCACGAAGAACTCGCCCACAGTAAATGATCCTTTGTCGAGCAGCAGGAATGTCCACGGTTTGGGCGATGTGGTTTTTAAACTCCGTGACTGTCAGCTGTAACAAGCGGCTGCTAGTGGCGTTCAGGGGGAGCCCCCTTAATGCTACTCACCGTTTCCTCCACTTCGAACTGATGGTTCCGGGAGTCCAGAGTTTTTACTGTAACTTTGATCATTCTGCAACAGTGGGGCCCACTTAACTAATCAGGGTTTTTGACTGTCTTGGAATTGCAGTTTTCAACGGGCTGGAGCTTAAGGAACGCACAAATGAGATGGGATTTGGCTGGGAATCCTGAAAAGCAATTCCTGGTTATCACGAAATTCAATAATCGCCACTGACATTGACTTTTGTCACCCGTCGTTGCCAACCGTGACGCGGTGCACGAGTACCAACCCAACGTCAGTGAAATCCAACCCTTTTTGACGTTTGTTCATTAACTAGACTGTCATGTTTAAATAATTTATTAACAGCAGGTATGTAGATAAGATTTTTAACAGTACATTTAAAAGAAGGGCTCGCTATCAGGAAATCAACCAAGTGTTCCGAATTTGGGGAAAATTGGCACAATCAGTAACCATCGTTAAAAAAACCAACAAAATTTCCTTTAAACTAGAGGCAATTTCTCTGCCGGCAAAACTCATAAGAAGTTTCCTGTCCAAAATAGGAAAGTATTCAGTAGCAACGCGCCCTAAAATTAACAATAACAACGCTTTCGCCCCTGGCGATCCCCATTCTGCATTGACAACGTGAAAAACACAATCAGACCGATGGGAGCTGGGTAGTAACGAAAGCTCCAATTTCAAATTCTATCAAAACACTAGCTTAAGGCAACAAAGTGAAACTGAAAACAATAAATTAATGTACAAAGAATGCCTAGTTCAAGGAAGGGGTGGCTCCATCGCACCAGTTCACCTCTATATTGGGCCATTTGGTCTGCAGCACTGTCAGCATGGCGTTGGACTCGCATACCGCCTTGATGTCAGATTCTAGAAGGATCGCCGATCCGATGTGATACTGAATCTATGGAGGAAAAGGCCCCAAAATTCCTCTGGGAGAGTGATTACAGTCCAGTACTCACTTGGCCATTAACGTGGCTTTGCGCCAGCCCATTATAGTGGAACAAGGTGAACAAATCCGGCGTCGATGACTCTTCCTTCGGGAAAAATTCGTCCATAAATGCGCTCAACAGTATGATTCCTAGGCATTCGCTATCTAGCTTCTTCTTCATTATATTTACGCTGAAAGGTGGAGATTAGCACACTTGTCGCTGAAGCACATCGGCACTTACTATTCAAGTTCATTAACTAAGTTTAAGGCCTGCAGGACATCGCGCAGTTTGTCCGAACTGATAAAGTTATTCTCTTCGGGGTCAAAGCGTTTGAATATCCGCCGCGCTTGCTCGCTTTTGGTTTCCAGACTCACCAGCTGCCTCTCATCACTAAATAATACTGAAACTCCAGCGTTAAGGCGTCCGGCCTTATTCGACAACGGTGCGCCTACCTGTTAAATGGGTGTCGGACGCTAACACCCAAACAGGATGAATGGGGTTCTTGTAGAAGGACCCCACCGTGCATAACCGGTGGTATTCCATAATGGTGATGAACCCCACTTGACTTTGCTTCTCTATTCCCATTAAGGCTGCAACCGAAGCAAATCAATCATCCGCATTGGCCGTGTGTGGCTCAGAACACTTACTCAGTCCGGCTATCTCTTGAAAGTGGTCCCAAACGTACATGGTGGCTCGTCCACTGATCATCAAGTTGATTAACGCCTGGCTGCCATAGCCGTAGGTTTCATCGATGAGCGGCTCTTGCAAGTCAAAGCATTCCGACTTCACTCGCTGCAACCCCTAAACAACAGGATTGGCAGGAAAACACTTAGGCGCGACTCACCCTAGATAATATCACAGAATACAGAAAGAGGAGCACTCCAAATTTGCCTTGCAGTGCAGCAATGTGGTCCAGGTAATACTTGGTGACCTGGCCCAGAGTGACGAACATTATCACACGTAAGTCTTCGTGAAATTGCACAGCGTTAATGTCTTGAGAGTCTGAGAGGTTCTTATTCCTGTCTCCTTCCCGCTTGGCTCCGCTCTCGTCAATGTGCACCACACAGAAGTGGCGATTACTCACTTGGCTGAGTATTTCGCATAATGCGCGCACCAAAATTCTACTTTGCACTTCCGAAGTCACCTGCAATGGGCGCGCTTTAGACGAACAAGTGGTTGAGCCCTGGCTCGCATTTACCCGATCTCTAAAATGGAATCCCTTGTACTCTAGCAGCAGGTTCTTGACGATGAAGGCCTGGACTGGGGCGATGATGGCGCATGGGCCTCCTTTTGCCTGTTCCAGTGCACTTTTCTCGCTGCTACTGAAATAGAACCCTGAATAGGGGGGCACGAATGATGAGTCTGACTAAGTCAAGTTTAGCATTCGTTCAATATTGGGCCGCCTCCACAACCAATGACATGGTTATTTGAGTGGGGCAATTGGGGCTTTTGAGTACATTACCTTGGGACCATCGCTGAAAGATGTCCTGTTTGATTTCGGCGCCCCACAGCAGCTCCTTGACGCCCAACAGTTCCTGCTCGAATAGTGCAGGCACGGTCTCCGCCATTGCAGGCAAACACTGGCTCCAAAGCGATAAATTTTTGCGTGTTTTTTCCCCACAAAACCGAGAACAATTTGTCTGGCATTAGAGGTTAGAAATGGTTTAGCAAGTGTCAGAATTGATTAGCAATGGTGCCAACAGCAGCCGCGAACCACTGACATTGACAATCCTTCAGAATCTTATTTCTCGTTTCTGTGAAGAACCTTCTTGAAGGAATCTTGAATCTTCTGAAGAACCGCTTGGGCTACAGAGAGGCAAAAATTGATCTTCAATTTATGTTTGGTGCGAAATTGGGTTTCGCCAGGAAAACATCTTGATCTTTGGACGTTTTTAGGGCGGGTGCCCCTTAAGCGCCTTTCTGAAGGAACCACTGGCAATATCCTGATAAGGGTTTCAGCTGCCGACAGAGGAATCTTCAATTTACATCTGGTGTGGATTTGGGCTCCCGGAAATAACAGGTTTTTATCAGAATAAATTCTTAATCGTTGACGTTTTTAGCGCATGTTTAAATTACCGCACCGCACTCTTCTTGAGCGCGCCTCGAAAGAACCGTTGGCGGTGTAAGCATGCCGGTTACAGCAGTCAACAAAGGAAGCTTCTATGTAGACTGGATGGAAATTTGAGTTCACTGACCATGTTGGTTGCTTCAGAATCAATTCGCAAGCTTTCGGGCAGGTGCCACCTTCATATGAGCGTATCAGAAAATCC